CTACAAGCAGCAGCACCTCTTGAGTGCTGAGCATCAACTTCAGCAAATTTCTCAATGGGGGAGAAAGGAGTGGAAAAATCGCAGCCTCGTCATGGAAGAAAGTCATTAAAAATGCTGTGATACAGAGAAGCTATGCTGATTATTTGTGAAAGGTCTGAGAGAAAATGATGCAAATGAAACAAGCTAGTCTGTAAGGGAGGTGTGAACTTTTTAAATCAAACAAAGAAGCATACCTAGCGAAACAGGAGGATGAGAGTAATGTTGCTTTGGACAACTATTTTCACTGAAAATGTTAACATTGCAGTCCATACCCGGGAGGTCATACTACAAAATGAGCACAATTTTTTTGTACAATATTACTTCATGTATTGTAGGGGAGAAAGCCTGGTAAATTCCTTTGTTCTTTCAACTTCACTATACTTTGTCAGATGAAAACATTTTGAATAGCCAGCCGTGCCATAGTTAAAATCACATAAGCATTCATGTTTGCTTATTTTAGAAGGAATGTGGATTCGACTTTGTACCCGATGCCTTAAAGCCATGCTGGAACACAAGAAAGTCTATTATCTTTATATCATGTATTTTAGGACTTTTCCCCACCCCATTAGCAGCTTCCAGCTATTGGGCAGAAGACTGACGGTTTATAAAACAGCTGTGCAACTGCCTCATTTGCACACTTATCTTGTTTGACAAGGGGTTGAAATGCTCAATTTCCCAGAGGTCTTCCTTTTTCTTTCCCCAGCAGAAAATGTCTCTCTAGATTTCAATTCAGCTGTGACAAATTTTTATAAATAAAGAATATCTAGCATTCAGATTTCATCCAGAAGAACGCAGAAACACTTTACACAGGACACACACAAATCATTTCACTACATGCCAAGCAGCAGAAAGCACAGCCTGGAAATGAAAATGGGGCAGCCACTCTGTACCCTGCATCTCCTTCCTCCAACCTTGGGCCCCCCATTAATCACTAAAGCACCATTCTCTGGCTCAAACAAATCTTAAATTACAGTAAAACTTTGAGATATAATTGTTGAAATCCATGAAAACTTGAATTCCTTCACTTTGCAGCATAATCATTCTGTCCCATAGGATACTAACAAACAACAGAGCAAATTTTCAAAACCCATACTGGACAGACAACAAAATGCATTCAAAATATATCACCAAAAAAATCCAGATTGTTTTTGCTCATGAAATAAGGTGACACCTATGATCACCAAATGACATCAACTTTTTAATGTCAATAGCACTGTTAGAAGTTTAATTTTGTTACCAACTAGATCATCCATCCCCATTTATGGCATTACTGTGCCATAGCACATTTGTTCTAAAATTCTTAAGGAATGATGATAATACAGCCAAGGCAATTACTCCTCCAAGAACTAACGTTGGGGTATTTTTTTAAAGATCAGATTTGATTGAAAGATAAAGATTAGCTTTAAATTCCTCCACCCCTTCTTTTATTTGCATATGAAAAGAAGGTGTAATACTGATGCTTACCTTGATATGACATTAAAAGACAGTTTGGGTCAATATAATTACAACAGAACAGAGGATTTTTTTTTTTAAATCCTTAAATATTTGTACTTACTGATTTTACCCTTCAGATGCATTCTAGGATACTGAGGTAATTAGCTAAGTCCAAACCACAGATACAGAAGCAGATACCACAGCTACTAGATACTTCCTTTAATTTGTATATTATGCATGCAATACCATAGGTTAATCCCCTCAAAACAGGAAAAAACATATATTTATGCAACAATACTTTAGAATAGATTCATGTGAGTCTACGTGGCCCCCAGAAGAGCTTTCTTGCACTTGATGGCAGGTTTATGGACATGTCGTAAATGTCAGACTATGCCTTTTAATAATAAAGAAAGACACTATAATACTGTTTCCTTGTAACCTGGACAGAAAATCATTTGGTAAGAGTAAGAACATTTATTGGTTTTGACATAAAAATTTCTAGCTGTGAGGTGGAAACGCTGTACTCCAAATACCGGAAGAAACATGAAATCTCAAGGGTTATGTTCACTAATTCTTGGTTCAAAAGCAGACGCTTCAGGTGCATTATTTAAGAGCTTGTCAAAGAAGATCTTCTGTAGCACACTACTTCAGGACTTATCTCCTGCTCTTCCCGGAAAGAGGATTCTCATATAAATATATGGCAGAACTAGCTAGTTGCAGATCAAGCCCACACTGCCCACGCTACTCCAATACCATTGTGGTCACTATAAAATGTTCAGAGTAGAAAAGCTCTTCAACACTGAATGTAACCACTCCTCCCACACATCCCATGTAAGTGCAGTTCTATGGCCAAGCTTTTCAACATGTACTTGCTTTGAAAAATTCAAAGCGACAGTTCTCACAGTAGCCATACTTGATGTTCTTATGCATATTTTGTATTGCTGTATTCAGTGTTAATTTGGTGCCATAGAGATGTAGCATATTCAATGCAAATGAGAAACAGTTGAAGTCCAAGCTAATGCTTTGACTTTCCTAACTCCTGTACACACAAAAACTCTAGTGTGTTTTATTTAACAATTATTTTGCTTTTCATTTTTTCATTCTTTCAGAGCATAAATCCTCGACCAAAAGCTAGCCAAATCAGAATTTTCAGTTAGGATGATCACATATAAACATGCTAGAAGAAAATCAGAAAAGGCTCAAAGGACCAAACTGTCAGAAAAATCAAATGGATTGATTGGGTCCCATATGCAGTAAGACAGTGAGCTAGATTTTCAGCTGCCTAAGTCATGGGAGCATCGTTGCCTTCAATACAGGTATGTGCATTTGCATCAACTATCTGACCTGTGCTTCTGTAGAAGATACTCCAGATATACACAGATCTGCTGCCATAGATAGCTACCTTCATGTTTCTCTCATAGATCAAAATCTATCAACATTTCAGGGAGCAGAAAGAATTTTATATGTTTCAGATGCCAGAGTAAAAACAAATACACAATCTGGCTTGAACTATTCATATACAGGCCAAAAAATCCCTCATACAGAAAAATCACAGCTGGTAAAATCATCCTTTTCATACTTAACTAAGTAGCTTAAAAAGAAACAGGAGAGAGAAATCATCTTGGGCTGAGAGCAAGCAAGAGAAATATAATTTAAAATTGCATATTTTTAGAAAACATCATTTTGATGGAAAGTGCTTCTCCTAAACATGTCTATACTGGACAGTCAGAAAGGTTGGAAAGATTAGAAAGATAGGGCCTTCTTAATGCATCATTGCATTAAAACAACATCACGAGGGGAAAAAGAATACAGAGAGCAATGGTTACCTCTTAAAGATGGAGAATGCCAGTCACAGATGTGTGGTGCAGAAAACATTTATAAAAACACATTTTTGCACAACAGAAAAAAAAAAAGAGTGCTCTACAGTGGCTAGAGAAATTAAAGAACAAAAAAGGGAAGGTGACCTGATGGGTGCTTAAATGGAAAAAAAGAAAGTAACTCTGTACCACTTCTCATCTGCACTGAACCCTGAAGGGAGAAAATTAGGATGATTACACTCTCAACCACAGTAATCCTGGATTAAGGCATTTAATTTCCTAGGCTGTTTACAAACCATCAATACAAACAATAGGAAGCAGATATAGGGCATGCTGCTTAAAAAATATATCACTTTGCTGTCAAAACTGGCGTTAGTACAAATTCAGGGGTATGCAATGTTTTGTTCTTTTTAAAGGAGAGTTTGATTTTAGGAGTTTGAAGTAACCTCTTAAGCCTGAACTACCCTACAATACAGTATCTTCTGCAAACATTAAGGAGGTGGTCGCTCTTTTGTTAGCAAATGGAGTACACCTTAGCCTTTTAAATTTGTGAATGGCTTTGAAAATAGAAGGTATCTCCAATATAATCTGTTTATAACAGGTAAACCATATCTGTTCATGCAAGAGTAGCAATTAACAGAAAACATCTGTACCATGTTTACCTTTATGAAGTATTATTGTCCTAAATAGCAGAGAATCTCCATATAAGGGAAAATTTATTATTTATTTTGGTAGACACCTGGAAAATTCCTCTTCACCATAATTCTAAGAAATCTGACAGCTCTGAGGGAAAAAAAATTCAATATTTTCCTCTATGCTCTTCTGTGTCAACAAGTGTTACCCAAGCATTCACACTACAGGTAAATAAATGACCTAATTAGCCAAACACAGTCTGCTTTTGGTATTTTAGAAATACAAAATTTCTCAGTGTGAGGTTCACGTACCAGGTGTCACCATGGGCTGGCACTTCACAGGACAGGATGATATGCCTGAGAACTTCCAACACGGACAATCTCGCTTTTCAGATATGCGTTATATGAAAAAGATTTAATTCCAATTCCACCCTGTTTTTTTTGATTTCCATTTCTCCTATTACATAGAACACAACTTTCTCCCCTTTGAATAGGGAACTAAATTCACTTTCCCTAGATCATTTTAACCTGTGCCTTAACAAAATGGAAGCTGGGTTAAGTTCTTAATCTAAAACCTACTGTAGTCAAGAGAAATCTTTCTACTGACATTAAAAGTTTTTATACCAAGTTGATGAAGAAATGTGTGTGTTATATTCCAGTGCAACATCTCTCCCTATATCCCATACGGCTCCATGTACTTCAGCAGGCTGTGGAGCAGGAATTATCTCAATTTTTACTCTCAGTGAGGTATGAGATAACACAAGCATTGTATCAGATGAGAAATATACAACCAGGAGGTGGCAACTCTTAGGTAGTATGGCTGAAGTCTTATGGCTGATGCCTCTAAGAGCTGAGAATCACTGTAGTCAAGTAAATTGAGAAATTCTAAATTCATTGATTTTGCTGGGAAAATTTTTGTAAAAACACACATTGCCTCTCAATGATAAAATCTCAAAACATCCACAGTGATATGCTGTATGACTGAATGGCAGTTCACCTTATAATGAACTGGACTGCACACATTAGCACAAGCAAAAGGGATGGGTAGTGGCGGTGGGGAAAAAAACTTAGAAAAATACATCTTAGAAGTTACTTATGTTTAATGCTTAAAAGTCTGAATGCACAAACAATAATCTACCATTATAGAAGTACTGGTGGTCAATACACTGCATTAGAACTATGTACAATGACACAGTTTAGTATCAAAATCTTTCTACACTGTAGAGTATTACGAAACTGTTAATGACATCAAACACTAAGCACTTAAGACACCATTTTTTGCTACCACATTTGGAACTTCAATGAACAGTCCATTTTAACTTGCAGCATCAATCCATTTCTAGTATGAAATTTAGTAATTTTCTACTTATACAATAAGATTTATCTACACGGGTCTTTTGATTTTGATCCATAGCAGCAAAGGCACTGTACATCAGCAGATCCACAGACTTAAAGATTTTTTTAAAGCATTCAAAAAAAAAAGTCACAGATCATAGTTTAACAGCAACAACAACAACATAAAAAGATAACACAATGTCTCTGGCACAATGGCTCAGCCTGCGTCCATTTTGAGGACATCCAATCACAACTTGGATTGAACTGATGGCAAAAAAGAAAGTCCTTTCCGAAGTAAGAATCCATTCCTTTTCTGTACTTCGGAATGAGTGCTCTTGTAAATCCTACCTCAGAGGTCCTTGCTTTTGTAGTTTGTACACTGGTAGGAATTCATCCTTATTTCAGTGCTGTTTCCAATGAATATATCAAATATTTTTCGTAATCTCTTGTAATTGAAAAACTGCCTAAAGACATGTATCTCCCATTTCAAAGAAACGTGGCAAAAATGTCCAGAAGCAATAAAGGTGATTCTTTGAGGCAACTTATTGTACTTCTCTCTACAATATAACAGAGAGAGGTGTTATATTAAAGAAAGCTATGTTGACACCAAAATGCTTTATGTTCATCAACAGAAAAGCACTGAAAACAAATCTGTTCACAAGATGCTAGACTGACACTGGAAATAGATTGGCACATTCTCATAAAAGGTATTTAATTTAGATGTGAATTGAACTTGCCATTCATCACAGTCATGTAAATCACTGGCTATAGGTTGCAAATACCTAAACTTCTGAGGCTCTCTAAATTGTTAAACTACATCACCTCCCCAACAAATAATTATACTGTAATAATACTTTGAGGCCTCATCCAAGAATAGGACTACAAAATCCCAGTTTTTAAAATGAGAAGCTATGAGTCTATTAGGTGTAGCTTTTACTATCTCCACAACATCCTTCTCCTCCCCACTCCCTGTGATCCACCAGCAAAACCACAAAACATGTAACGCACCTTTCAAATCAAAGCCGGGCCAGACAGCTTTATTTAGTCAGTTCATTGTTAGAAAGCCTTCTTTAAACAAAATAAATACATTACAACTATAATACATAATTAAAGAGTCAAGTTCACTGTTAAGTATGCTTATTCCACCTTCTTCCAAGTAGGTATCTGATGATTTGGTATCACAAGTTCTTAATCAGCATTCACAATTCAACAGCAAGTTAAAAGGGGGACAGTAAATTCCACAACTGTGATGAGCATTTAAAGTTTTCAGTGTGGGAAAGAAAAAAAAGGAATATACAGCAAAGTGCTACGAGAAAGAGTCCTGTTTGCATTCAGATTTGTCTCTAATAAATAACTTCGTAGACTGTAGCCTTCTTGTCCCCAGAGCCAGTGACAATGTATTTGTCATCCACAGAGATATCACAGCTAAGCACAGATGAGGATTCTTTGGACTACAAGAAAAAAAAAAGAAATATAAATGAATTCTTTTCAATCCATTTCAATCCATAAAAGGACTCGAAGATTAATTAGAAGAGTTTACAGAGAGGGAATGCAAGGGAAAATTCATTTAAATATCACCACTGTAGATTCAAAGCAAAAGTAAAAGGATGGCAGCTTTTGTTACAAGACTGTTTCTCCAAATTTGTCTCACCTAAAGCTCTATGACAACAAAAAAGGGCAGCAGAAAGGGAAGTGAATGTTTTATTTAACGCTACGGAACTAGAGATAACCTATCAATCAAACAAAAACAAGCAGTCCCTTCTATATACTTTACAAGCAATGAGTACTTATTAAAATTTTATGAGCTAGTCTTTGCATAAAAATGAATCAAAAGTCATCTCCTCCTTTCTCGTTCTCATCTCTGTTTTAAACCAGAAATCCTTACGGAGAAGCACTACAAAGCCCTACCTACCCACAGGCATGAAACAAAGATTCCACAGAAATAACTACATCTCCTATTAGTATTTCTCCAACACAGAGGACAAAAACCTTGCACAAAGGAATTTACATTACCAGGAGGACGCAAATATGAAGACATACCACTGTAGCATAAGTAACAGCATATGGCAGGTGAATGGAAGACAGGCTACAGTAGCTTTATCTCCCCCAGCTTTTCTATCAGCATGGAGATGAATCTTTCCTGAGATGATGTATATGTATGCACGCTGTCACATTTTTCTTGCAGTTTTAGTTTATTTTTTCTCTATATAACATATATGCCCACATTTTCTTTTCTGCCCTTCACTGCAAGAGCTAAATACTTCCCGATCATGCTCAGTTCCTGCAAAGAAACCTCCTCTGCACTGCACAACAGTGTCTTTCTCTATCCCTCATTAAGAAAGTTGCACTGAGGAATTACATAGTTTTAAGGAAGATGTTTTTGGAAGGGTTATTTGGGCATTCTGTGGGAGGTTGTCCCAGAATACTCTCCACTAAGAAAGTTCAGACTTCAGATTTCTCATGCCAAAGCAAAGTGCACTGTCCCAAAAGGCAGAGACATTACAGTTTTAAGTATAGTGGAGACCTGACCTTTTAACCTGCAACAGCAGGATTAACATAGTAGAAAAAATTCCCAACATAAAGGTATCTGTATGAAGAAGAGAGGGATATCCCAAAAATCTCACTCTTCTTTAATGGCACTGAAGTTCTAATAAGAGTGGACCTAGGGATTAAAGATTAGACAAAGCTTACGACTTCCAGTTACATTTGATAGGACTCCTCTGTAAGGATCAAGTCCAGCTCAAGAGTCTACCTGTTTAATCTACTGATTTTTCAGTGTTAATACAAGGTATGACACCTTAATGTTATTTATCCACATACGTCAAACATACAAGCTGTGAGAAAGCACTCATTAGCCTTAATTTGTCTCCTCCACGAAAAACACATATGTTGAATATGACTTTCATTATTTTAGATATATTTTGGACCTTCAATGAATGCTAAGCTAATCACATGACTTGGATGCTGTATTTCAGCAATATATACAAGAAGGTGAGAAAGATACAGAATGAGAAAGAAGGGTATTAAAAACAATGTCAGAGTAGAGGGTTACTTTATGGTAAGAGCTAAATTACTAAAATGCTAGTAAGGACAAAAGTATATGCCTCTAATTACAGACAAAGTCTTAAAGGAACACAATAATTACCCAAGAATTTCTACTTAAGAACTCCTTAAACTAATGGCAGACCCTGAGAAGTGTATCTCTATTGCACTGTGATGTGGAAAATAGCTTTTAGATTATTACCTGGAATATACTGGCTCCATAAGGTGTTCTCCAGGCATTAAGAAGGTTATCTTTTCCAGTGCTTACAAACCATTTGCCTGCAACAGATTGTTTAAATGCTATGGTTGTGTTTTGTTTTCAATGAATGCACCCCAAGAAAAAGATTAGCCATAAAAACAACTCATCCACACATTAATGGAAACTACATCCATAAAACAGTCACATCTTCATCTGGTTACACTAAGATGTTCAATGACAACATAAGTAGTTTGTGCTAAAAAGCAGTCATGGATTCTTTTTTTTAATTTTGATATTTAAACTTCAGGTAGTTTTAAAATTTCTCTGTTTTTATCTAAACGTGATATTGAATAAATTTCTCAGGAGAGAAAATATTGGCAAAGAAAGCTTTGCTTACCACAGTGAGCAAATTTGAGTGACAACACACAGCTTTCATGAAGATGCAGCTGATACTTGTCCGGTTTAGTAACATGCAGCACCTCGACGTTACTGTTCTCCATTCCTACTGCCAACCATTCACCAGTTGGACAATAGCCCAGTGAGAAGATCTGGAATTAGCACAGCACATGCTTCAATCAGTACGGAACGAGCCTGAGATAGTCAAACCCAACTCCTGCTACACTGTTAACACTATGCAAAAACACATTTTGGTCTGCTACACAGTTTTAAAAACATGCTAATCCAATTACTATAGTAATCAAGATAAATTGGCTCATGTAAACAAAGCTCAATTAAAACTGTAATAGCAAAGCACTGAATCAAGCTATAAAAGTTAATGTCCTAGCTTATCTGACAGCATTTAGAAATATTTTTGTAAAATATTTTTGAACAAGGATCTACAGAAATGGTAACAGATTGTGCACAGGAACACTTTAATCTGGCAATTCTTTTACAACAACGCTTCTCCGCTGCTCTCATGGGAGAAGTACTAATCTGTCAAACAGAGTCATAATCCAGAAAGATGTTTAGCTGCCATATTAAAAAAAAAAAGAGTGTGAGACTAAGTGAAAAATTCTTTTGGAGTTCTCTTGTGAGTCTGCTTTTTAAAAAAACCTGTGTTTTAGAAAACCACGGCAGATATTTCTTAACATGCCAAAGCTTCTGAGATTGAACCTGTGATGTAAAGTCATGTTGTTGTAGCTGTCTCCCTTCTCTGAGGTCCCAGGATCTGACTGTATTGTCCAAGCCTCCTGTCCAGAGTTTAGTTCCATCATTAGAAATGTCAATACAGCTGGCTCCATCTGTGTGGCCCTGAAATTGCCTGAAAATACCACAAGAAGATACATTCTTGCATTAGAAACACTCAGTTCCCAGTATATACTCAAAATACCTCATTTTTGTTTCAGCCTTGTACACACATCCATTAAAGACAAATGTAACATAGATTCTAACAGTAATTTCAGAGTAAATTCCTGAGAATTTAACCATGTGAATTTTGTGATGACTCTCTGAAGCAACCAGGCCAGAGAGCTGAGCACTAATATGGTTTTGAGAAGCACACATTAAGAGTCAGATATCCTGGGGATCTTTGCTGCTGACTGTGTGATACCCATCACTTGGTAAGAAATATCACATTCCCCATGAGGAAACGCAGCATGACAGTTAAAATTCACTTGCTTTAAGATGGCAAGGTTAAAATGGGAGGATCAGCTAGCAAAAACCCACCTTTACATGTAATATTAAAATACTCTACTATACAGCGCAGTAGTGTATACAAAAGCGCTGTACTACTGGCTCATAGCTATCTGTATATTGGTGTAGAGCAGCAACTCATATTCCCAAGACACTGAAGTGTACAATGCAGCGATCTACACATTTACCCAAGACACACTTGCCAGAGCACTGATTAAAGAAAACGGTGTGCAAGCACAGTGTACCACATGGAAACAAAGGAAACCATCTGTTAAACCCCCAGCGATGTCAATACCAGCTGATCTTAGGCAATTATAGTTCTGGGGCTGCTCGATGGGCCTGGAATTATGAAATTCTCAAATCCTATAAACAATGACATAGGACCTTATCAAGATATTATCATGGTTATTGCCTAGCAAAAACTGAAAGCAGTTATGTTGACAACACTAAGACAAGAGCATAGTTAAGCAGAAGAGCATGTAATGCTACATCTAATTAATTCTTCACAACCTGATGATCCAGTTCTGTTGACCTACCTTACTAAAGTCTGGTTATGCAGATCCCACACTGCAATGTTCCCATCACTACAGCAAGAGAAGCAGACCTTGGAATCGGGGCTGATAGCTAGGGCATAGCAAGCTGGAGCAGAAGATGTCAGCTCTGCCTTAATCCGTGGAGTTGGAGCTGCCAGGTCCCAAATGGATAACGTGCTGGCTTCCCCACCAACAATCAGGGTGCGGCCATCTGGGAGCAATCTGCCGGAACGGATGTTGGTATCTCTGTTCTGTGGAGACAGAAGCCATCAAGAGATTACTCATGAGGAAAGGAAAACAGCATTAACATGAAAGCAGAAATCCATAAAAGCATTGTATTCCCTCCTGGTTTTAATGAGCCATTTATACTTATGACAATGATAAAGTGTATTAATGCCAGAAAATTACATGACATTAGGGAAGTACTTAAACTTGATCTAAAAAATTCAGTAGTGAGAGATATTTAATCTTAATTAGCATCACAATGCAAAGACCTGAACCCAACCCAAAACAATTCAAGATAGCTGCATTTGACAGCTTGTGCAGAAAGTTACATTTTCATACTCTGTTTATTTCTGCACATTAACCTCATGGCATGGGGGAGTATCAAATTCCCTGCACACTTCCCCCTCTGTCGCAATGAGACTCGCTGCCACCATCTAGGAGACATCAGAAAAAAATATTTGGGCAATTTTCTTCATTTGTGTAGCAATTTGTGTAGCAATTCATTATATTTCTACACGTTCTGCATAGTTCTCCTTTAACAGCCTCTGTAACAAGAAGCAACATCTTACCAAGAACTGGTAAATGACAGGAAAAAGGCTGCTAACAATGGTTCATCTTGTTAGCACATTCAAATAATTTGCAAATAACACTCAGGGATATTTTTAATTGTCACGTTAAGACAGGGCAAGGCATTCACACATTCACACAAACGCACAAAATATGTGACACAGGCTTCAAATATTCTCTGAGAATGCAGCTGCAAGACGGCAGTTTTTAACGTGATTAGGATATCGAGCTTTAAGATTGCTAACAAATGTCACAGTTTATAAACAGTATCTACTGTGGTGTCTTTGATCTTTCCCCCTAACAATACAATTTTAGGATACTAAGGATGCTTTGACTCATTGCAGGAAGAAAAGCACAAGTACTACAAAGAACATAGTTCAAACTCAGTTCTAGAAAAAACAACAAAATTACAAATGGAAGATCAGGCTTTGATACCAATGACAGCACTCAGATAGCCACTGCTTTTTGTACCTTAACAATACCGTTTCAAACTTAACACCACCTCCCACCTTCTTCCACCATCCTATGTAGCCGTTCACTTACCAGGCAGTCCAGCTGAGAGACAGGGCTCTTGTTGCCTGGGTGGCTGATATCCCAGACTTTGACACACCCCTTCCCACCCGTGTACACATGTCTCGTGGGGTTACTGATGGTCACTGCACACACAACTTCCCCATGGTTCAGAGTGTTGATCTGACGGGCATGGCGAGGGATCCCTGGACCGATGAGGGCATCAGGAGGGAAAGGTACAGGCTGCATCTGACCATCTGCGCTTACATGAAATGAATATGCTCTGAAGACAAAAAACAGAAGGTGAGAGAGGAAGGACAGTGATTTAAGTTGTTCTTCAAGCTTCTTTAAGAAAAGAGACCGAGAAGTGTGTTTGGTATGTGTGTATCCACATCAACGGTCTATTATTTTCTGCTATGGGAATGGACATTGTGCACCTACCTCCTTTTGCAATTTCTACACTAATTTGAAGAACAAAATTACTTAGTTACCTGAACTGTTGATCTCAGAGGATACATCAGGGTATTCTTCTTTTCCTTCTGATGTGGCATGTCAAGGACCATCTACCAATCAAATGAGCTTTTACAGCTCACCCAGCTACGATTTCTGGCATGACTGAGGCTACATGACACTATTCTCATACTCCAGTGCAAGGCGAGAGAACATCGTATACAGAGAAGGGAAGGAAGACCAGATCAGGGCCACCCGGGAAGACAGAAAATAGTAAGCTGGCTGCTGAAGTACATTGGGGGTGCCTAGTGCCTGCGGACATTTGGTTGTTCCCTTATTGATTCTAAGGTGTGAACTTCAGCAAGCATGAGAGAGCTGGAGGGCTGTCAAGGTGCCCTGAAGAGTATCAAGGGTCCCACATGGCTTAAGGGAAACTACCCAGCACAGTATGTAAGGGTGCACCGAAACCACTGCCATCAAGGAGTTAAGTCCTCAAGGCACACTCACTGACGTCTGATACAACACACTACCAAAAATACATGGGGATTTTTTTCCTTCTTCTGGGATTTAAAATTTTTATTTGTTTATTTTTTTTAGAACTGACACAATAACCACAAATCCCAATTTCTCTTCCTACAATCAGGACTCTCACTGAGAAAGAATGTGTTGTGTGACTGCCAGTTATGCCACCTGTGAATAACCTATCAACAGCTTCATCTCAAAATATTTTCCAGAGATATTTTCCAGAGAGAACACTTAAGCTGTGAAATTGTCTTGTTCTTAGATGCTCCCTGACACATCCCATCTATTATAGAGCACAAACTTTATAGGAGGGTTCACCTACACATACAAATGTGTGCTTAATGGAAGGCTTTAATTTCCTCAGACATTAAAAAAAAAAAAATACAGCAGCACCGACAAAAAATCCATTGTCATAACGGTGAGGATGAGAACAGCTCACAAAAATATTTTATCAGAATACTTAGAAAGATTGTTTCCATAATTGTTGCTTGAAAGTCACTGAAGATAGACTTCAGAATTCATTTGTTCTTTAAGAATCACATTGCATTAATATTAGAATAATAATTTTCAGTAGATTAAGTACAACTGCATTTTCACCTTTCTGCCCTATTCCCAGAGCTTTTCACTCTCTCCTAATCCTGCCCTTTGTTTCTTGTTCTGGCAGGTCTGAGTGACAGATCGTATCATCATTCTCCATTTTTTGACATTAAATTCATTCAGGAAAGGGTAGGACAGACTTCTGCTGTTATCAGAAGCAGAAAACTGTCTATATTGACTGGAATTTTTAGTTCAGTTATCACTACAGAGATCTGAAAGATCTTCTTCATTATCTCCTTAATTCCTTTTCCTGAAGTAAAGGAACTAAAAGAAAAAGCAGATGGTGACCCCAAACCTAAAACAAAACAAATGAAATTTTTTTATCATCCTTTCCAACTTCTGTAGAAAGTTTCAGTCACACTCTGCAGAGCCATGCTGAGCACTTAATATATGGTGTTTTCATTAGCCACAGGGAATTTACAATGCTTATAAGGTACCCAGGGAACATATCTGAACAACTACAAAAAAGAAAGGGAAGTTCTGGAGTGATCTATGACTATATTATTCTCACCTTATTCATCATTCCATACCAGCACCTGTGATTAAATTGTTACTTCCACTTGTTACTTATTTGAAGTACTCTAAATATCTTACAAATGTCTAACACTATAAACACCTGATGTACATTTTTTTCCTTCTTTTTGTATTAACTTTCTCTTCTATTTATATATTGTACTAAGCTCAACTTTTTGATGCATCTCAAAACTAGAGAGAGAGTTATTAGGCAGGTAGATGCCTGATGTGCCACACACTCGTTCCATTTCAGAAAACATTCAACAGTGTGGAGAATTTACACAACTTTTATTTTATGGAAAAAGGAAGGGTACATGAGAGAGCAACAATCCCAAATGATATTTGTGAAAAATACTGCACGTAAGAAATCAACGTGATCATGACAAAATGACCACAGATTTCAAAGGCTGCGATCCCCACAGCTGACAAACATTCAGTTGCAACTGTCCTTTAAAACAGTTATCAATACGTCAGAAGCCTTTGAGATGCAACAGCTCTTTGACTGGTTTGGTTTCAATTTGCATCAACTCATCTTATTTTTTCCCCTCTCCAACTCGAGGACGATGCGAGTAGGATGGTCTCCACATCTGTGGAATTTTCCATTCTAAGGTCACAACAAGGAAAGCCTAGCAGTGTAGGTCACCTTTTTTGGGCCACTATATCTACCAAAGATGAGCTTGATTATTAACACAATTTGAACATTACGTCAGGAAATTTCTATGTGCCCACTGCATGTGTAGGATGAAGATCTCTGTCCTGCAGAATTTTTACTCCAAACATCTGATCCTAGAAACTACTGTACACCAAGTTCCAAAACCATCTTATGCAGCCATATGCCAGGGCAGAGAAACTAGCAGAAAAGCAACTGAGGTGATATCCAATGTGTGAAGTCTGGAAGAGTGGGATGCAGGTTATGATTTGTATGATACATTTGTGTAAGAAAACTTACAGGAACTAGCATTGATCACTTGCCCCATTACATGCTATTTAACTTGTGCGTCTGTAAGCACGCAGGCAGGCAAGCGTTTGCATTTATACACATGCATGTATGCACGTTCCCCCATCCCCTGCAAACACACTCATACATAAGACAGAGAGAGAAGGAATGGCACAATCTACATCCCCTGCCCTTCAAGCCCTCCAATATTAGCTGGTCACAGGTTCTTGTGAGCGTGACAGAGAAAGTGGAACGTGAGGACCCTTACATAAAATCTGGATCAATGTGGTTTTGCATCACTGTTTTATTTTTTTATTTTTTGCCTTCTCTAACTCAAGAGGGATGCAAGTAGAGAGTTCTTCATATCTGTGAAATTCTTTTCCCTAGGCTCACAACAAGCGAAGCCCGGTAGAGTAGGTCACCTTTACCGGTCAGTTCCATCAGGAATGAATTTGAACATTATGATACCATAATTCTTTCCAGTATTTTCAATCAAGCAAAACATCTCAGTGTTCCTTTCTCTGCAAACTGCTGTTTATAGCAGCTGATAAGTTTGCAAGTGATTGCAAGGCTTTTGTGAACAAAGAAATTATTTCTTAACCTGAGAGGCAATGTATGGCAGACACGGAAAGCCAAGATCCCACTCCACTTTGCATTTCTGTATTAAACTAACCAGTCAAATTCAGCATGCAACACCTGGAAGTTCAGCTCTCTTTTCGATTTATCACTGTCTCCTGTTATTCTATACCAGCTAGAATTTGTCAGCTGCAATTAGTCTTCAAAACAAATTTACAAATACAATTTTAAGACTGAACAGTGTTTTTCCTTCCCTTGCTAAATGGTTGTATTTATTCTTACAATAATTTTCAATGGCAAAAGGGAATTTCAACTGGCAAGGGAACACAGCTTCAATATAGATGATTAACTTCTAACGTTGAATGTCTGATACTCACGGTTTTCCTCCTGGGATGCCTGTGAGATTGGGAGGGATGCCTGGGACTCGCATGTGATGATGGGGATCAAAACCAACCTGCAGTTTTCCCCAAGCAAAACAAAAAGCTATATTAAAAACAGAGTTATGCAAAATAAGATAGTTTAGTCCATAACCTCCAAAGCATACTCCCCAACTTACGAACAGACCGTACCAGATTTAACTCTGCAGGTCAAACATTTAAGTAAACTGCTCTCATCCCCAAATGCATTAGAGGCAAATGCTTACCACTGGAGATCTCCCGTAAGCTGCGGCTGCTGCTGCTGCTGCGGCTGCTGCACTCATTTGAGGGGAAATGTTGTGTAGACCAGCATAGGCAGCTCCTGGGCTGGTCAGCTCACCGTTCATACCAGCATGTGGTACAATCCCAAATGGAGTAGGGTAAGGACATGGCACTGCCATAGGCGTCCTTAAACCTGAAGCTATAGAGGGCAAAAAAAGAGAGAAGTTACACAGCCAGCCCAACACACAGATCAAATATAAATTCGGCAATATAAAAAAAAAAAAAAATGCTGTATTGAAATGCTGTGCTAAAATGCTGAAGAACCAGCGCAGCATTCAGTTTAGGCAGCTGTAATATACAGCTTTGTCACTGCAGATTTAAAGGGAAACTGTTTAGGGATGAATGGCTACAGTTTCATACAGTTTTGAATTTACTTGTACTTAGTGGGTCAACACCGGGGGGCTTGCCAGGCACAGGCCTTAATCCGGGAGTGGAATTGCTGCCTGGAGTTGGAGCGTCAGTCCGTGGAGTTGGGGTATTTGATTTAGATACAGGTGTGGTAGATTTCTCATTCTAATAATCAAAAAAAGATAATGAAAGATAGTTGATCAGTTATTTTACTTTTCGGCTTCTTAACTTGTGGCTGGAAAGAGAGCAGATGACAACTGGGGTGTGGTGCGACTAGTGAAACCTGGGTTTTGGCTTTAATAGTCTGTGGCAGTGAAGAGAAGCACGCAGAGACACTTAAAGGGATGGAATGGCTTTGGGAATTAACTACAGCCTTCAATAGCTTTCCTCATTTGGGTCAACAGTATGATTCAGAGTAAGGTCAATGACTGAAAATCATTACCATCTGACAATCATATTGGCAGCATATGCAAAATCTGTTGGTGGTCTCAGTCCGCTCATAGTGGACCTGTTCACATTATGAGTTTCTGATAGAAGCCACTGGCTGGTGGACACAAAGAGCAAAAGAAAACCCACCGCCAACCGAGAACTTATCCCCAAATGTGCTGTTCATAACACAGATTGGAGGCAGCGATGGGTATAAAGTTAGGAACCGCACAGTGCCACTCTTGTGAGAAGCTTGTTCATCCAACAAACAGCTGACTACTGGATCTGGACCTGTCATTGCATCACCTTTCCTGAGCACTACCATCACTTTAGGTTTTTATTATTATTATTTTATTTCTTTTAAATAATCATGTACCCCGATCTGCAAAGAACTACGAGAGGAGTTACAGTACAGCTCAGAAATATGATCAACTACAGGCACAAACAGGACAGACAAGTACACCCCTCACTTGCAGACAGCTCTTTTTTGCATTGTGATTTGTGATGCAAGTCAAGGAAGACTCTTGTAAATGACAGATTACTTTTTAGATAGAAAATAAAAATTATTGTTGTTGTATGTAGCCTGGTAATTCAAACAAAGCTAACAACCAAATCACATCCAAGCAGGGAACTGAATTTACTATAAACCGCAGCACAAGAAAACAGCTCAAGGAACCCCTGTGTACTCTTATTTATTCACAGAATGACAGTTTTTCATATGGGGGAGGAGAAAAACATCTCTCAGCACAGAACATCCATCATCTATTCACACTAGCAGTTAAAGTAACTCCTTCCCATCTCAAAAAAGGCTGTGGATTTTCTCCTTAGTATTTCATTAAATTCCCTGAAAATAGAAATGAAAGGAATTTTATACTGATTTTGCATAGCTGATAGCGATAGCTTTAGAAATCCATATTGTGCCCAGATACAAATCTGGTTAACAGGCGTTTCATTATATTATCACAGATCAGCAGCATTCAGAGGCACTTACAAGGCTAAGTTCTTTGGATTTGGAGGAAGGAGTACTGCTGGAGGATGCAATAGATGCAGGACTAATTGGTGCATCTTTCTTCAGCAGTCGAGTCTTGTCCAAGCCATTCTCCCGTGGAGAGTGTGCTGGGCTCCCTCGGGGAGAGGAAGGATCCTAAACATCAACAATATTGGTTAGTACAAAAAAAGCCTCATAAGTAGCCACTGACGCTTGTCTTTAGCAATTCTCACTTTGGCCTGAAGATCTGCTCTAAAGTGTAGCATGTTCCTTCAATCTTTAAGTGATTTAGCTGATAAAATTTGTAAAATCAAGTTGGATAATCCAAGAAAACTGTTTCTTAAAGAATGTCTTGAATGCTATTAACCATGAAAAATAATGTTTAAAACCTTCGGATATTGAAATAGGCTAGTAATTCCCATTTTTCAGGTGGCAAACTGAGGTACCTGTCTGTCCTGATTAAGTTCACAAAAGAAGTCAAGGCCAGAGTGAAAGAAAACAGATACCACTCACTACAAGCAGCTTCCTATCTGCTGTGCTTGGCTGGCTTCAAATATCGCAAAGCAGACTTTTGGTTTGTACAAGAAACAAAAGCTCCCATGTAGAAAAACATGCTACAGATCTGATTTGCTTTCTACTGAAAGGACTGTATCCTGACTGGATTCCTTCAGGAATTTCAAGCTCCTTTGTGAAGGCAGAAGACTGTAATCTTATTCACTTATCTAATACGCGTGGAAACCACTGAAGAGCCCCCCCTTGCTATTATAAGGTACCAAAATAGCATTATGAGTACCTCATTGGAAACATCAACTACCAAGTTGTCATCACTCTTTTCACCATCACTGTCCTGCAATGACAAATCACAGTGTGTAAAAATTAAATATATAACGCGTTACATAATATATGAAGTCGCTTAAGTACAAAGAAAAAATCTGATGAAATACAAAGCTGCTCACCGCTATGAAGTATAGCCTTTACTTTTACCTAGCTTTATGTGGTAACAAAATTATAACATTTAGGTCGCCTATAGTGCTTCTTCTCAAAAGGTGTCACAGCTGTAGCATTCTTCCCAATTTTCACGTAAGTAAATGAAGACGGAGGATGAAAATACTTGTCCAAAGTTGCACAGCACTGAGAAGCAGACCCATGCCACACTCCAGAGCTACTGAGTTCAAGCTGAAGGCTCAATCCTCGTCACCTGCCACCAGGCATTCTGTATTTATATGGTCAAAAATACTATAAATCCCGAGCACCTAAGTCCTCCACCCAGCATAATGACAGATGCAGACAGTAAGTACCTGTTAAAATTTGACCTGAACATTTAAAATTAGGTATGCAGTAGGAAATTGGTAGAGTTACGGAGGACACAAGCTCAACAATGCAAAACGTAAATACTTTACTCACATAACGAGCTGCTATTTCCTTCTCTTCTGTTTTCTGCTTTTTACTGTCTGAAGAGTAATCTGTTGAGTTTCTGTGCTTTTCTGCTGTTCTGAAACTGGCTGATGGAGATACAGAAGAGCTCTGCAGTTAGAAGAGGGAGAGAGCGAGACAGGAAGAGAAAGCATCATCAGAGACACATTCAGAATAGCAGTTCATTTGTCACTATCCCTCAATACAACTTAACCCAATACGTCTTTAAAGTTTTTCTGATGGACAGCACTTTACGTTTTAATCAGTGATAGTCTACCCACCAAATTTTTTATGCTCAGAATGTTCAATGTGTTGCAAGAGACACAGACAAAGAAGATCAATTAATGGCTCCCTGAATTGGTGTTATCTGCAGTGTTAATAGGATGAAAGTAGAGCTACCTTCGAGCATTTTATGAATACTATATGTCGGTCTGGCTTTGGCTTGTTTACCCGATAAATATACAGGGTCAATTCAATACTGACCTCGGGGAGCAGAGGGTGGGAAATCAAGAAGAACAACAAAGATAGTTCAAGGTTAAGTCACACTCCGGCAAACACTTGCGAGAAGATTTCTAGCAAGGAGAGGAGCAAAATCCTAAATAGTCTTGCAACAGGAGAAAGCAGTGGAGGTAAACACCTAACTCAATCTGATGCCTTACACAATTGCAAGCAGTCTGGTGCCTGCAGTAGGCAGGAACACAGCAGCTCCAGCAGGCTCTCCTTGTTCTGCAGCGCTATCTTAGTAATGGTTTTTACGGAGCGTACTGAAGAGACAGGTGAGAAAGGAAGACCATGTGTACTTTGTGCACTGCCCTACAATTCCACTCCTTTAAATCAGAAAGGCAACATTTATCAACTCCTGCCCTATTTCCAGAGCTTGGTTCAGTCTGTATCTTGATACACAAATTAGAAAGAAATGAAAGATCCTAAGTTTCCTCTAGAATTGACTACCAGCAACATCAGGTTTTGGCCCTAACTCAAGAAAGCATTTAAGTACATGCTTAACTTTATCTCACACTGAGGTCAATGGTTGAACATACAGAAGGATGTGTTCAGGCATTGTGCAGAATTGGAACCAACAGGAATGAAGACAAAAGTACTTCTCAATTGAAACCCTTCTGACTGTTTCCCTCTCTCTATCCTCCTTACATAAGGGGGGAAAAACAAGTAATGCATTTGTCCTTACTGCTGGATTTCATCCTCTCCTCCTCATCCAGAAACACTGGTTCCGAGGTTCTCTTCCATGCATGTAGCAGGCTGTTGTTTGCATAAAACTGTACAATACTCCACATTGATTTGTTTTTTTTTGATTCAAGTACACAACTAAACTTATTTCATATCTACTATCAGGAACACAAACCAAGAAATTAACATTTATGTTAGGGAACTTCTGGTCCATCGCTATTGCTGAATTACTTATTTCCTACTACACCACATACTTCTGGTAAGGATCAAAAATACTCAGCCGTGCAGTTGTCACTGTAGTCACATAAGAGAACAGCTTCTCCATGCTGGAGGACCAAGGTCCTAGTCTCCAGGTCACTTCTCTAAAATTTCCAACTGTTGCTAACATCAGTTCAGATTAATGAGCGGTGGAATTTGCAAAAATCTATTTTCGACTGTCAAACATTAACAGCACTGAGGGGAATGGAAATTTTAAAACAAAGCTAGTGCTGAATACAGCCTGTGTCTTTCCTATTTTCCTCCAGCCTTCTCTCCTCCGACACTGCAAAACAGTAGACGAGGATTTCCTATCCTGCACAAACACATCTTAAAATGTGTTCGCTGATTTAGACTTGAAGTGGGCCATTATAATCAATTATTATGCTACAAAAAAAAAGTGCTATTGTTTGCTCTGAGTAGACAACACATATTAAGGTATTTGGAAACAGTGGTGACAGTAGGCTCAGAAGCCCTTAAAATAAGGACCAAGCAGAAATATGACATTAAATGAACTGATAACTGATGGCTTAGAAACGTATTTGTTTACTGTAATGAAACAGCAGAGCCTTTTGCAAGACATTTTAACAGTATCTTCCTATTACATTTATAATCATTTACAATTTGGGAGGCAGTAGCTTGTAATGTGAATTCAATTCATTATTTCTCAACTTCACCATACAGAAAGTAATTCGCCTTAAAACAAAGAAAAATAATCATTAGTAAACTACAAATTAGAGTGGTGTCTGAAGAATTAAACTACTGCACTTATTTAAATAGAAATATTTATTTTCATAAATATGAAACATACAGTTTCATTTTTCACAGTCTAGTTAGCTATGTGCTACAGATACCACTTTAATCTTTCATTTTACTGCTTAATAAAGTAATAAATTAAAGCCTTCTACTAGAATGATAAAGTAGTTAATTATCACCAGCACATAAAGAACGAGCACTACACTGGGCACTGGGGCAATGCGTACTGCTTAACAGTTTTTTTTGTTTCAAAAGCTGATCAGACTTGGTATCAATATGAAAAAAATCTTGCTATGGTATCCCACCTACATCAGCAGAAAAATACAGACAACTAGACTATTGATTGCTGGTGGGGAGAGAGATAAAATTAGTGGAGTGGGGAAAGCAGGCAGAATTTCATTTCTCAAACTGGAATTTGGCTAGTGTACTAGGACTAATATTATTTTGCCTAAAGTGTCAATTACTACAGGACAAATTAAGCATTCTCACTTTAACTGTCTTCTCCCTTTTCTTGCATGGGAGCCACAGTTACCCAGCAACACTCCTGCAATAATGGCTTTTTTTCTGTCCAATATGTAATGCATCTGCCATATAAAAATCTCTGACTTCATCAGATCTCTGGGACTGGTGCTGACAGATCTAAAATTATCTCTTATACTAAGTAACAATGATATGTCATGTACTGCTCAGCCAAAAAGCTATGGTCTAGATCTTCTAATGTACCTAACCCCTACTGATTTCAGCAGGCAAGAGACATTATTACTTGCGTCGACTTCCTGCTACGGTTTACAACAGCAGTTCAGCCTGTAAGCAACTGTAAGGATGTATTTTCAAGTGAGAAATACCTGGACATTACAATGTTTTCGTGGTTTAACTGACATCAGATTCCTGCATATAATCCTGCACCCACATAAATCTCTCCCTGAACATTTAAGTCTACATATTCCAAGAGAGATCCTTACGTTCCCAGACTTCACACAAAAGCCTCCACCAAAGCACAGCATTTATCTGTCAGACTCTGCCCTGCTCCTCAATTAAAACATCAGTCGTCTCCTAAGAGCTGCTTTTAAGAAGCTGGAATAGGATAGCTGCTTAGAGAAATTAAGTGATTCAGCATTACGTCTTGAAAGGCTATAACTTAATGGGCCAGAATCCCCATTTTAGTAACTATTACAATTTATAGAGAAATAAAGTCTTTTCACGCTGTTATTTTCTTCAATAAAATGTTTTAATCTTCTAGAGAGAGTAGCATTTTCCTACTAACCAACATCAACTTTGTTCACATATAACAATTAGATAAAACACAGGGAGTAAAAATACTCTTTGGCGAAAGTGGGTTACATTTAGTTTCTATTCTAGTAGAATGTCCCAGGTTTTCATCTTCTGCTTAGGCAGAATATTTTTATTCATGTCAAATACACCATAAAATGCTGACAAAAACTTATTCAATAGATATATTTATAGAAAGGCTGAACATGTTGCCTTGTTCATATAATTTGTGTAAGAGGTGAAACAGTTTCTAGTGCTGGATCCACAGGATCTTTTACAGCAGACTGTAAAGCATGAAGCATGATGCTTCACTCTGTATTTTGTACAGTGTTGAGCACTCCCACATGATGAAGCTGGTAACTCTTTAAAGCTTTCACAAACATGACCATTCCCTAGCATAACTTTACAACTCTGCCACAATGATGTATTTGGAGTATAGTAATTAAAACAACAGTTCCCAACAAAGCGGGAATTATGAGATAATTGACTATACTGAAGTATTAAGCAAACTGCAGTAAAAGCCAAGGATGCTCAATGCTAAGGCCAATTACAATATAATTATCTGAATGACATTACTGCTGTTATAAAGTCTGTTGAAAGTATAAAAAAAACTATAAAAATGGATACAATATGCATCACAGGGAAATGACCTGAGAGTAATCCTGCTTGGTTGATTGGTGCCAACGTTATACATGAAGTATAAAAGCCAAAGTTAGGATTCAGGCACTGCTCCAGAATTTGGCTTGGCGCTCTTAACTCTTTGAGATAAAACCTTATGCTTAAATCAGAAACACATAAAAAATGAAGTGCTGTGACTTCTGACAGTCAGGGTGAGACTGAAATTGCTTTGATGAATAACTAAGGGTATGAGGTGGGAAAGCTCCCACTTGGCACGTAGCAGAAAAGAACATAAGAAACATGGTCCTGGGTTAGCTCAGCAGCCCGTCTGGGCTCATATGCTGTATATGAAAGGGGCAGCAGTAGCAGCGGCAGCAATAGGGATGGACAGTGCGCGCCGGGACAGCCACTTGCCGCAGCCCATGTCCTTCCAGTCTCTCTCTCACCCACAACTGCGGGATCAAGGCTACTAGAGGCACACACTGCCTTTTTCCTTTAGGACTGCCTGTAGACCTCTTGCTTTTGGTTTGTCTCATCTCTCTCTGAAGCTGCTGGGAACTGCCTTGCCTCCACAGCCTCTTATGGCAGCAAGTTTCAGAAGATCTGTGTGAAAAGTAATTTTCTTTTTTACCTGTTTTAAACCCCATATTCCTACCAGTTTCATCAAGTCTCCTCTAGATCTAGCACTGCAGGATTTAGTGAATACAGTTCTGCATTTACCTTATCAACCACCTTAAAATTTTGTAGACTTCAGGCAAATCCTCCCTCAACCTTCTCCTCCCCAAATTGAAGAGATTCAGCCTTTTCAGTCTCTCCTCATAAGGTAACTGCTCCATTCCCTCCACCGCTTTAGTCACCTTTCTACGTACCTTTTCCAGCTCCATTTGTGAGACACGGAGACCAGAACGGTGCACAGTACACAAGAGGTAGGTCATCACACACAGAGCAATGACGTACTTTCCCTTTGGCTCTGGCCTTACACCATATCAAGTGAAGTAAGGAACAGATTCGCTTTCCCACAGCTCTCG